TTCTGGGTTGTAAATTTATGTATCTCACTGGCACTGAAAAGCTGAAACTCAGGGGAAAGAAACCCACTCTTTTAAAAATAAGAATATGACATTTCTTCAGAACTGTATTTCAAAAAAGACTGGGCTTGCTGGCATGGCTGTGAAGTGCTGCAGATGTCAAGACCAGGAGAAAACATCAGCCTAAGCCTCTGTGTAACACAGCTGAGATATTCACACAGGTGCATCACTGACCTTAGAAAATCCAGCACTATGCCCAATACTCTGACAAAGCAGCCCGTGCACGTCTTAAAGTGGTACTCACAGAGAAAGAAATCATTCACTGTTGCATTCTGTACCTCAGGTAGCCCTTGCCTGTAAACTGCAATGATTTCATTTTCCCACAAACTTACAAACACATATTGCACATATAAATTCAGTTCTGCCCGTGAAGCACAGTGATATTGTGGTGGTGGCCTTCAGGAGACCCTGGTTAGGAAACCAATGTTGTTTTACCCTGCTTGGGTAGGAGTGAAGAAGAATCCCCACGGTGAAGGATGCAGATGAAAGAGGAGGTGTGTGATGCTGTGCCAGCCAGCACAGGCCATTCAGTGCAGAGGGACACATCCAGCATTGATGATCCAGTTAGATCATACCATGGGAAATGTCACAAGGTGCCTAATGAAGACGCTGGTGGTGCATCACTGGTGTCTTCTAAGTGAAGTGTTTTGCTCTGTAGCCTCACCTTGTGAGGGCCCCAGCCCAGCAGACGAAGGTTGCAGGATCCCTTTTCCATGCTCGTGGAACTCAGCTTAGCAGGGGTCCCGTGTGGGATAGAGCCCCTGTTGTTCGTGCCTTGAATTGGCTTGGATTGAGGGCTGTTACAGGCAGCAAACATACACCCAGAGGACTCAGAAACGTGGTCCAGCTCATGCCACAAGTGAACTGCCTGCCTTCAGCATCAACTCTGAGACATGCACAGTTTTGTGCTGGCAGTGCTGGGTAAATGGTTTGGCTCAATGGTCTTAGAGGGCTTTTGCAGCCTTAATGATTGCACATACTGCCTCGTGTTTGCACAAAGTCCTTCCCAACGTGATTTCCACTATCTCCTTGCGCAGAATGACACCACTGGGGATCCAGTTCAGTGTCTCAGTCCACAGCGACGTTTATATTACTGTAGGAAGCACTTGCATTCTGATGATTAGACCATTTGCCCCAGTGATATTAAATCCAACACATTCCAGATTTATGCAGGTGACTTTCTCCTCCCCTGCCCTCCAAAAAGTCTCCTGCACTCTGCCAGGTCCTGATGCTGTTGATGCCATCCCTTCCCACGGTGAACTGCCCGGCAGAGGGCAGAGGAAGCCTTCCTTTGGCTTCCCTGGGAATGAGGATGAGCAACATTCAAATAAGAGGTTGGTATGATCGAGCTGGTGCCTTTTGGGAGGAGGGCA